AAGGATACCAGTGAATACAACGAACCGATTAAGGCGCTTGGCTATAATGCCACTGAACTATAATTGCAATATCATGTCGGTCTCCACTAGTGGCATCGGGTGAGCAGACACACAATCAAAACTAATAAATGATCTAAGCGGGAAGCAGAATAAGTGGTTATTGCAAACATCACTACAGAACCCGAATTCACAGCAAGCACTTTGGAGACCATAAACCAGCTACCGCTGCCTTTTGGTATTGTCCGCACAATTAAATCGGACATTACCATTCAAAAGGTGATAAGGTATCACCCACCCACTTGGTTATCGCAATGCCCAACTGGAGAACTCCGACAAGGTTTACAGCGTCGGATCACATTATACCTCATTAATGACTGCTTCCATTTCGTTAGCCGCATTGTTATTCCATCGGAACTACGCCGCAGAACCCTAACACAGTTTCACACGGGATTTCTAGGTATAAACCGAATGAAGGCCTAAGCTGGGAGTTACGTCTATTTGCCTGGTATAAATGAACAAATGCAATGTCCATGCCGAAACTATTTTACATGTGCCATCATTCAAAGAATGCCCAACCGACACATAGTACAACCCTGGTTAAAAAGAGAAAGATTATGGGTGCGACTTCATATTAATTTTGCTAGACTTATTTAACGTTGTGGATGCCTTCAGCAAGTGTCAGGAAATTTGCATCATGGATTCAACGACTACAAGTGCAACGATTACCCAACTACATCTGCTCTCCATTTTGGAAATTCCGGAGACAGTCGTGTCCGGTAACGGTACGCAGTTCACTGTCGGCCGGTGGCCAAGAAAAGATTGCACGCCTGCCTCGCAATCGGAAGGTCACCGGTTCGAATCCACGGAGGGGTCGGAGTCCTCGCGGTATATTCAGCCCACGCGCGACCGGTATTGGTCGCGTGGCAGCGAAGCGTGTTTCGGCGTACTGCTGACGACGACGCAGTTCACTTCGAAATAGTTTGTTGTTTACAAAAAGATTCGGAATCAATCACATCAAAGCACCGTTCCAATGAGATTGGTCGACAAACGTAAGCAGGACCTACTGAAATCCAGGGAGGAGGGAACGACGTTTGGGTCTGATGAGAGTTTACTCGAAAATTTTTTTAACCCAACACACAATTGATCTTCGTAACATCACGCAAATGGGAATATTTGTTCTGCTGAGGATCAGCAGTACCCGTGATCCACTGAAACTATCGAACTGCAAATCCGCAAAGTCCGAACGGCTATTCCCTCGACGGAGCTCTGATGAACAGGCAATTAGGTCTGACACATGACGTTATCCGAACAGCAGTCGGTTTAGTCTCAAGAAAACGGACGTTGTGACAAGCAGATGGTGCGCTAGTCAGAGACTATAGATGTTGCCATCAAAAATTTGCTATCGGCACCAGTAAAAGTTGTACTTGGCGTGTCTTGTACAGCATCTAGGTGGGTCCACTGCTGTGGAGGTGCCACGCTAGCCAACTCCGTAAAACCATCTGTCGTGGCCAAAGGAGTGGTGATGGATCTCTTAGCCTTGATATGTAATTAGAGAGGTACGAAATAAAAAGGATTACTGGGATCGGAACGGCTTGAAACCTAGTTCCAATGACAGACATCACATCCAAGCCCAGAGCAAATCCAGCCGTAAACGGAAGGTAGTAACTCCATTACAGCTCGACATAAGACGGAGATTTAACACCAAAAAACCAAGGGGGAAGTGCTAAGAGGGTTCAGATTCACGAGCGCAGACCAGCGAAGCTCGTGAATAGTGATAAAACAATCATTCGCCCGAAGAGCAGAACTAACTGAGACTAAGGTCAGAACCAGCTAATTCAAAACGGTCAGAATGAAACACTTCGGAAAGCAACGGACTAATGTCCGTGTCCGTAATTTCAATGAATGCCGTTTACTTCCATCACAGGGGGCGTTTTGCGTGCATGTGCGTGACTATCAGTATTCAAGTCACCAATTTTCCGCGATTCCGCAAAAAGGCAGGAAAACCACGCAATTCGTAAAGTTGGTGGAATCGCAGGATAAATTAAACATTCATAAAGAAGGCTACTTTGAATGCGCTTTAGTGTAATCGAAAATAATCAACAGGTTTAAATTTTGCGGATGACATCTCAAAAATAAAACAGCATTTAGGGGAAGAACAACTGCCCTGGACAGAGTGAAGGAGCTTCCTGGAGAAAGTAATGTCGATGACACAGATAAGAAAAACTGTTTTGTTCTTTGTGTGAAGTAACTGTAGATATATTCCGAAAATCAACTGTGGTTGACCAAAAGTGCATTCAGAAAAAAGCTCACAAGGAGGAACAAGCAGTTAAACGTGCCAAGAAGCAACCAGTCTGGAAGAAAGCATAAGTAGCAAGCATCATCAGTTCCATCGCTGTTGCAAATGAAGCCCGCGACACAATCGTATCATACTTTCTACTTGCTATGGTATCTGCGAATATTCCTCTAAAGGTCGACAACCCCCATTGAGGGAATTTCTTCAAAGACACGCACAAAATGGTGAAGGCATTGCCCGATCTAACACGTCATGTATGAAAATCCACTAGCTGTAGCGGAACACCAAGGGATATGTTCTGTGGTACTTTTGTCAGGGTCATAACAGAAACAACATAAGATCGCAGAAGATGGAACTGCACATCCTATTGTGCTCAATATTAAAGTTCAGTAAGGACAGTTTGCGAGCACACCTCATCGACAAGGTCAACTTGGAGAATCAATTCTGCTACAGTCGTAGGAGCCATTCTGCACAGCTTGAGCATGATGCGTATCGCCTTTAGTCGTGTGACAACTTTTGTGCCCCATGGCGCAAGATATTTGATAGCGTGCTACCGAGATGTCATTAGGCTTCTTTGTGAGGGTGCAGTTCACATTAGGTATGCTGCCCATGGCATCAATCTGATTGGATATTCCCTTCGCAAACTCTCTCCGGAAGTTGACGGATTGGCTCCAAAAATGAAAACTGCTTTCTGTGTACATTAAGTAACTAACTCAGGAAAAGGTGATTAACCTGACCGGTGCACCTGCACCGGTCATCATCCGCTGGAACTCCTGGCTGGAAGCTGTCGCACATCACAGCAAGTATTTCCATCATTACCCAGCCGTGCTGAAAGCTGCACAATATGAGTCTGGAGACTCAGCTGGTGATTGTGAACTTGTGGATCTTCCATCCACCGAAACGAAAGAAAGCGTGAAGTAGCAACTGAGTTGCAAGTACGACCGTAGTAAACCAAGTTGTTGATATATTCGTTTAGCTGAGTGTTCTCCAACTTACTCATGAAGACATCGGCGAGTAGCGGTCCTAATGGTGAACCCATAGATACCGCGTCTATTTGTCTGTAAAACGTCTCATTGAACTGAAACTGAATGTTCTTAGTGCAAGCCAGTATAAGTTGCCTTAGACAATCATTTGGGATACCGATGTTGATGTTGTGCAATTGGATAAACTCGCAGAGATAGTCAATTTTTCCTTATTCATATGTCTGTCTTTTTTAGTTTCAGCAGAATCTTGAAGTGAAGATGGGTCTAAATTTGACGAAAATCGAAAATTCGGAGCATCGTGAGGTGATCAGATATTTCTATCTCGAAAGAATGTCAACATTTGGATCTACTAAGATATGCTTAATGCTTTACATGAAACTGCCCCATCATATGCCAGAGGTAAACGTCGGGCGCAAGAAATTAAGCGCAGCAGGGAGAGTATTGAAGACAAACCCGTCAGCGTGACTATCAACCACCACCATTAAAGAAAATCGTGACCTAGCCATGTGAATGATCAGGTAAGATTGCCAATTAATAACTTATTAGATAGAAGAGAGGTTAGAAATCTCCCAGGAGCGAGCACATAATATTCTGACGAATAATTTAGGTGACTCAAAAGTTTTCGCTCTGTGGGCGCCACGTATCCTGACTCCTGGCATCGGAGACACGCAAGTATTTAGTATCGACGCTTCGCTGACTCCTGAGCGGAAGTCCATTCAGCATGAAATGTCAAAAAATAATTTGGAAGCGTTTGAGACAGATGTCGATGATTATCTTGCGCGGTTCATCACTATGCATGAGTGATGTGTCCATCACTTTCACCAAGAAGGAAAAGAACAGTCAAAACAATGGAAGAGTGCATCATCTCCTACACCAAAGTAGGCCAAGGTTATGACGTCAGCTGGCAAGTTGATAGCATTTGTAGTTCGAGATTCGCATAGTATGGTGGTGATTAATTTCCTTGAAACAGGTCTTACTGGCCCCAGAAAGTATTATCGTGCGCTTCTGAAACATTTCAGTATGACGATGAATGCTCCCGAGAGTAGTCATTCTCCACAACGACAAGGCTCCAACAACCCACACCAGTCCGATTGCTCAAAAAACAATCAATGATTGCGACTTCCAGCCTCCACTTCACCTAGCCTATTCCCCAAAAGTGACACCCCTGACACACCTATTTCCAAACTAAAAAAGATTTAGATAGCCAATAGTTTTTCAACGACAGTGATGTCATCGAATCTATAGGAAAGTTATTAGTGTTACAATCGTAAGAGTACTTTTCCACTGGGATACAGGTGCTACAGCATCGCTGGAGCAAGTGTATTGCGACTGTGTGGAAAAAATACACCGAAGGCTCCGCAGATCACAGGATCTTTCTGAAGCTGAATGCTTTCCATTCACCCTACCTAGGTGAAACATACGTCAGCTGCGACTCTAGGCTGATTCATTTATGAGCATTTGGTTGATGTACAGAAATCTCCGAAGCTAACCTTCCCATTAGATAGTCAAACATCAGTGTGGATTGATATTCACGCCGACGAACGCGGAGAGCTGGAATACTAGAAAAATCCGAAGAGCCCCGGTTGTTGAACGGCTCATGTGTTCCCAATAAGTCACTGAAATAATGCGACTAAAAAGAACACGTCATACAAGATGGATGATACCTTCAGGAGCCTGCAAGAAAACACCGACAGTGTGAGAGTATAGCAAACGCAGATGCTAGGTCAGAAAGTAAAAATGGCTATAAAAGTGTTGCAATAAAATTTTTATCATAATGTACTGGTGATCGATAAGGCCAGTAATGACGAGAAGGATACATGCGGGCACGGAGATCGATACACAGAGGATTCAGTGTCTCATTGTAAAAATTAGGCATATCTATGGCACACAGTAGCTAAATTTCGAAAGGTTCAAGGAAGGAACATTCAACCATTCAGATAAAAAGAATGATGAATGGAGGAACGGAAGCTAGAGGCCTTGGAAATGAACTGAACGACAAGTAAACTCGATATAGAGAAGGACATTGGAAATTTGCACGGGTATGCTTGCGCCTCTGCGTAAGTGTGACAACAAACCGAAAAATGGTATCAGCCGAGCCCCGAGTTATAAGAAACGGATGTGTGGAAACAAGAGTTTAATTAGAAACGAAATAAGTTAATTATTTACATTGAAAAGATATTAGTCGCTTTCACCTTCGTCGCTTATTCGAGCGCGTGCTCTCTTCCGTGGCTCGGAAATCTAAAGGAAAATGGAGAGTGAAAGAAATAGCACCACTGAACCACGTAAAAAGAGCACAGAAATAGACATCCTAAGAGACTTAGTAAATGAAAGTAACCAGATACAGGTGTGACGTTCAAAGCACAAAGGCAATCGCGCCACGTGGCGCAGATTTGCAGCAAAAGCTAGTCTCGATTCGATATGAAAGGTCTCGAATCAACAGACAGCATGACAGATCGCGAACTAGAATAAAGGATAAATTTAGCGAATGCACTACTAGGCTAGAGCAAGGTGAGAGTCTGAGCTGGTTAAAACAAGATGTAATAGGTTAATAAGCCACAAAAGCTAAAGAAGCTACAATCCCGGTTGCAAGAGTCAATCGGATAAACTGTGAGAAAATGCAGTCATTTTGTGAAAGCTGGTCAATCACAACCATGCAAAAAAGATAGGCATGCAAAAATCGGTCATGCGAGAGACACAACTAGCAAACAGCTGGGCCTCACGCTGCCACGGTAAGTTTAGATTTACAGCCAGTTGTTTCTGCACGCAAAGTAGTGGCTGTTATCGATAGTGGCTTCCGGCAGTCTGAGAACACGGCGTTCATGTTTTATCGAGCCCACATGATTTGCACGCCGGACACATAAGAAGCGTAGAAAGATTAACTGTTTGAGACATCGCAATCGAACGCTTATTTGCTGCGGTTTATAAAGCGCCTAGGCGCCATAACCAAGCGAGATCGTGTATCAACAGTTCAAAAGGATCTGATCGTTATCGATCTGCCATTCAGATATGATCATATTGTGAAAAACCGGCACGAAACGTGTTGGTACTTCAGTTGAAAGAGCGTACAGCGCAGCTGAACTACATGTCCCATTGTTTACACAAATTCATTTGTAACTAAGCAGACAGCTGTGTCGGGTGCACCAGCCTAAATTTAGATGTCAGGATCAAAGAACACATTCCCAAATGGCAACGCAGTGGGGTGGGATCGGTAATGGCGCAATCGGATGAACTGAGAAATCGAGCTGCCTCGGCAATAACAAGGCAGTTGCTGAGCACTGGCCACCAAGTCAATTCCTATGAGTTATCCGGCGTCCTGATGCGCAACAAGCGAACCCACATTCTCAGGTTATTGGAAGCCCTTGTCATCTATCCAGAATGACAACAGTTTTGCGTGCAGAAACAGTTGGCTGTGTGATCTTGAACTTAACGTAATAGCGCGAGCCTCAGCGATTAGCTAGCTAGCGATGTCGCATGGCTGCGTTTATATATATATATATATATATATATATATATATATATATATATATGAATTTTTGCAGGATTGCGATTGATCAGCTTGCACAAAATGACTGGATTTTCACACAGTTTGTGTCTAGTGATTTTCCTGTTGAAAATAATAAAGGGAAATTTCTGTTTCAATCGGATAAAAGTGGTACAGTTAAACAAGAATTGCTTGTTGAGAATGCTGAGTATATGACGGCACTCAGTCACATTAATACCGCGAAGGCTAAGTGAAGGCACGCAATTGCGTTGCATCCAATACCATTAATTATTACCATGGTTCACCATACCATGGCTGCGTCTTACTGAAAGCATTCACGGCGGTACGCGGGTGAAAGTGCAGCCATGTGGACAAACCTCGGATGGCTTTGATATTGTCTGGTGTGAAGTAAAATCTCGTCTTATCACAAACCATGTTTAATAATCATCGAACTGGTATGATGCATTGTGTTTCCAATACCAGTGAATACGGGGTCCAACTTGAGCACCGTTTCCACGGTTACTTGCTGAACATTCATAATTTCACAGCGAGAACCCTAATGTGTGAAACTATCATCTGGGTGCTGTTGGTTGCCGACGACTGCACATAGTTTTCACACATTGAAAATGAGTTGCAGCGTGTGACGACAGCTCATGCTCGGACAGAGGTGAAGTTCGGACTCACAGAAGCAAGCCTGTCTATCATTTCCAGCAGTCACCAAAAGCAGAATTTGTGGACTTGCCGCAAATCCAGAAGAGTGACAAAGTTTTGGAGACCTCGCCAAAATATTGCAACCTTGGGTTCACGCTGTCGACAGACCTACAGATAACAAACGAGCGGTGCATTCGCGTATCGGAAGTAAGTGCTGCATTCGGCATACTGGAAAATAAGGCCTAGAGAAATCATAACCCGGCCGTAGGAACCAAACTGATGACAAACAAGTCAATTGTATTCTCGATTTTCTTCCACGGTAGGGAAACATGAGTACTACACAGGAAGAATATCCGATATATAGAACGATTCCATCAGCAATTTCTGCATCGGGTACTGCACATCTGTTAGTGTGACAGAGTTGCTGTCCCGGTAGTCCTGCGTCGGAGCAACCCGTATGGAGTAGATTACACGCGGTTTCTAGAAAACCTTAAGTGTCTTAGACACGTATGTCATATATGGGCGACCAAAATACCCAAGCTCTTGCTGTATGGCCAAATGAATGCAGGGAGACAAAACGTAAGCAAACTGGAGCCACGTCATGTGAGTTCGTAAAGAAACAAATGTTAAATCTAAGTGTTGGGAAGCAATGGTAGCGGATTGCTGCCAATAGCGTGATCACATCAAGAATGCCGCTTACCAGGTGCACGAGAAAGAAAAACACTTGTTAGGCAAGCGCAGACACAGATGTAGCCTGCCAATCGACATCGGGAATCTGGTGCATCGGCAGATCTAATTTGATACACCATCAATGTGGCTTAGATAGACCAATATCGCGGAGCTGCAAACCAAAATCTAACGGGGGGAGGCTATCTCTACCTGAAGAGTCCAAATCAGGACGAAATCGGTATATCGTGGAGTGCCGTGTGGGAGACAATGCAGTTCTGGAATTCTCCAAAAGAACCGGTAGGTTTAATGACTAAGTTTCGGCACAGGTAGGATACGCTGCGTTTGTTTTCATATACTGGCCCCGGCCAATAGTGCAGTCGATGTAGCACGTGCGCACTTGTTCTGTACGTGTGTCTGAATGCTATTTTATTGCACTTTGGGTGTTTGCATATTGATCTCTCCGGTCTAAAACTGCCACGTCCATTACTGATACAAGAAGGCAGTTAATCGTTACTAGGGGGGGCCTGATACATGGCCTTCGTGACAGTGCTAGGCTCAAAGAGCGGTTCCATCCAGTGTGAAAGGGCATCTGACCCAGCCATGTGTGATTAACCCATTCATATGAATGATAAGTATGTGGGAGGAGTTTGGGCCAGGCTGCGAATCAATAGTGGATCTCACCAAAAAGCATCCCAGTTTTGTTACTCCGGGTTTACACTGGATATTACGTGTGTGGACGAAGCCGTGGGTGGTCCATGGTCACTTTGTAGGCGCAGGTCCGCCGCTGCTGCTGTTCGAACTCAAAGTGACAAACAAACCCACAAACAGATGTCGCCAATCGGATAGCGTAAGATGGTCTAGTAACGTGAAAACATTCGAGTGGTCTATACACACAAATGCCCAAGGTATGTCCTGGGCAGGGTATGGAAGGGGCAAAATAAGGAAAGTTGAGTAAGCTCGAAATAACTGTAAGCATAATTAGACAAGGAACAATCAAAATTTGAAAATCAACAAAGATTGAAATGCAAAGGAGCATATTATGGCGGAAAACAGAGACACACGGAGCCCGACACGCCTGCGTCAATTAAGAAGGACTTTAAGCAAAAGAACCAACCAGTGCTGGGCTCAGGCGGAAGAAGAGCAGTCATCATGCCGACAAACGTTTGCGATGAATCAGCAATCGGGATACGTACACATGTGAGTGCCAAATTTCACTTGACAAGCCACCATGCAATACAGAACAGAGGGGTACAGATGTGACAGTCAACAAACAATCTCGTAGGAAACTTACGTCACTGAGCGATTCGGATTCGGACGAATAAATAGCGGAAACATCTGAAATGAAACATGGAAAAAGGACAGCTGATTTAGGTACACTTAAGTGGGTGGCGCGAACCACAGAAAAAATCAAGCCCAATGAGAAATACTGGTGGTAAAGCTTCTCCGCCTGCCTAGTTCGATAACGAAAGGAGTGAAATATGTGTGAAGCATCCAACCACCAATGCATTAGAGTTGTGAGAGACCCCGGCAAAAATGACCACAGTAAAACGAGAGAAAACAAAGAACCCAAGGAACCGTGGCGGTCTAGAGCCGCATTGTGGTAGTCTCCTGCCATTGCTTGGGATCCTAGGTGTAGTGAGCCAAGTGTGTGGCCTAAGCGCCCAAGGTTGGAGTCCTTGTACAAAAAAGGGTTTAAGTAACCCAGCCGTTCTCCACTCCAACTACAACCACTTGAAGTTGCAGGGTAGCAACACAACGTGTTGGTGTAATGTCGAAAACACCACATAGTATACTCTACTGCGAGCGGGGCGTTCGAAATCCGCGAAGAGAGCATTTGAAATTCACCACTATGAGCAGGTAAAACGCTTACAATAGCAGGAACTCTTCGAACACTTGCTGTGAAAGTCCGGAGCGATATGACTAATTTAACTATATCAGAACATAATATTTAATCAGTGAATAGCAAGTGTCGCAATATCACATCTGGTAACTTATTTAAGATGGTCGTTGCTGTCCCCCGTAGCTCAGTGGTTTCCACCACGGACTGGCAACAGTCGAGGTGCGGGTTCGAGCCCTCATCATCATACACGTTAGCTAGAGGTGGGGAACACCTCAACTACTGTGCCGGTGGGGGAGGGAGGAGAATTAGGGGGGTTGAAAACTGAGGGGAAAAAAGTGAAGCTGGAACCGGACGATAAGGGTGAAAAAGCGCAAGAGGGGGAATAAGAAGACGGGAAGGCTTGAGCAGTAGCATCCAAACCCCTATCTACCCTGCCCGATGCAGCAGATAGGGCACCGTTGATTATCCTCTGCGGTGACCAGAGCACCAGAAATTTGTTTGACGAATGATTCCTGGTATTGCGTGGGCAGAATACTGTCAGGTTGCCCAGGCCTAGACAGGAGAACGTTAAGGTTCTCAACCAAAGCCTTTGATTCAAAAACCTGTCCGCAAGGCAGCGGGTTTGGCATTGGGCTACAACGAGTCCGTTTTAAGGAATAAGGAGCCACCCTCATTCCAACCCCCAACCTGGAGGACCAGGAGGCTGAGCTTGTCTGGCCTCTAACCATTGACCAATCTGGTATGAGTGACTCTGAAGGTGCAAAAATTAACCACCCAGTATAGCTCAATGGATCGCTGAGGCACACAAACCATCGCACCACGGTAAGGTCCAGCTTCACTGCGATGGGGTTCGAGCCCTACCAGGATCCGATGGAATGCACACTGCTGACAATTCCCGAAAGGATGAAACGCGCATACAGTGCTTTTCCGGGCGTGTGAGGGCTGTCTGAGTGAGTCTAGATGTAACAAATTTCTACCTATAATATTAGAGCAAACAGCATTTAAATAGGAAAAATAAGCGAAAATTGTATGTTTACCGACATTAGCTATATAACAACAGCAGTACATCAGCCATTTGGAATGACGCTTCGCTGCCATACAGCCATGATGACTTAAGGAATAAAGAATAATAACGGTGCGGCCATAGGAGAAGGCATCATACGCCAGAGGAAGGAAAATGGATAGCAGGCGACTGCCATTAACAGCGCAATAGATCAGCCTCAGTCCAGAACATTTACTAGGAACAAATTCGTGCATCACATTACATGATCATTAACATTTTTGCATGTATATTAACAATCTGTTTCATCACTGAATCAATTGTGAGGTCGAACAGTTATCAAAACCCTAGATAATTTATTGGAACTCACGCAGCTACTCACTCCCAATGTCAAGACCAAAGTTGTTCGCATATTCATCGTCGCAGATTCGCTTGTATACATTTGATCATGCCTTGTGGGCATGCCCCGTGCAAAACCAAGAATATAAATTTATTTATTTATTTAAGAGAGAGATAAGGGGGACATAAAAGAAAACCTTAATGCCTTAAGCAAACATTCAGGGTCAAGGCGCCTACACCTTGTGTAGACAAGATACCGTCAAAAACACCTAGATATCGTGCAAACAGAAGGCGGCATTATCAAGACAGCTTCCATGCGGCTTTCACTGCCCCGCGCCATAATCAGCCATTACCCCGCAGATAACTTAGCATCAAACACACTTTAAACAGGCAATCCGATTAGGAGACGACAGCAGATGCGCCACTGGTGTCGGCTGCGAACTATGTCCTGTAAAGTCTCGAACCAAGCACAAGGCGAGTCACGTGGACTCCAGCCCGGAAGGCGAGACGGACCAACGGCACCCAGTTTAGTCGCCAGTGACTTCATTTCCTGCTGCAAAGTCAACTTCTGTCCACCTCGAGCGTTGCGCCATCCCACATCTGGCAGACTAAACAAGACCCTCCTAGGTAAGCGGTGACCAAGCATACGTAGCACGATCCCCAGCCAACGCAACTTATTCAGTGCTACCTGTTGTTCGAGGAAGCTAGCATGATTATCATTGTCTAGTACTCGCCTACGCATATCATAGTTGCGGACACGCTGGTGCAATCCGACACCAGCAATGCTTCGCAGACAACGATGCTCAAAGACTTAATGGCGCCTCAGAGCTTCAGCTCGAAGTGGCCAAGTTTCACTACCATAGAGCAGAACGGGCCTCACTAGGGCATGTATACACGGCCTTTCGGACGGAGGAAAACTTCCTTCTGTCGCCAAAGATGCCGCAGGTTCAAGAAGGCAGCTCTGGCTTTTGCAATGCGTGAACTGACTAGTTTCTATGAGTTCATCATTGCTGATGTAGCTGCCACCTCGTTACTCGTTAACAAGGGTCAATGGGTCATAAAGTGGTTGGTGGTCCTGCAGCAACATTTTGCACGTCGAAGATGCAATGCGCATACCAAATAATGGGACCACTCTGGATAGGCTATTCAGGGTTGTTTGTGCCGTCCCAATATCGTCGAAAAGCAAGACGACATCGTCCGCATAATCTAGATCAACTAATCTTCCACCAGGAAGCACATCAACGCCTACATCGTGAGATTCCGCAAGGGAACACTCCATGATAGAAACCACGACGAAATTGAACAGAAATGGGGAAATCGGACAACCTTGATGAACGCCACTTGTGGTCGGAAAGCTAGCCGATAGGCCACCGTAGATCCTAACGCGGCCTGCAGGGTTGGAGTATAGAGCACGAAGGATGTTCACATATTTCGTGGGAACACCTTTCCGCGCAAGTATTTCGAACAGAATCGTTCGATCTACTGAATCGAACGCATTCTTGAAATCAAGGAACGCAGCTATTGTCGATCTACGAATGCATGGCGCTGCTCTAGCACCTGATGCAGAGTGAATATATGGTTTATGCAGCCACGTCCTGCGTGGAAACCTGTCTGTTCTTTCCTAATCCGAGATTCCCGTTCCATAGTGAGGCGACGAACGAGAATCGAGGCCAGTAATTTTGTCACAATTGGCGTTAGGCTAATATCCCTGTGGTTAGAACAGTCTGTGCGACTGCTCTTCTTGTATATTGCTACTATAATCGATACGCTCCAGTTAGCCGGGACACTCTTCCTTCCAAATACGTTCGAATGGGGAGGTCAGTGCTTTGCAGAGGACCTCACCTCCATTCTTAAATAGTGCAGGTGAGAGGCAATCCGGGCCAGCGGCAGGAAAGCGATAGAGGGCTGTGATCGCGTTTCGGACCTCGGCCTCCGACGGAGGCTCTAAACTAACCGTCCATAGCTCGTCCTGCATCACCTGAGTAGGAAGAGGTCCGGAAGCAGAGGGCCAGCTGAACTGATTTTGAAAGTGTTTCGCCCAACGAGCCATACGACGCTCTTTATTGTGTATCAGTGCACCCGTGCTGTCTCTGATTGTCTCATTGACGCCTGGTTTCCTGTGACCAGTGGTGCGTATCAGCTGGAAGAGCTTGCGGTAATTGCCTACTGCTCCTGTCTGCTCAATTTCTTGAGCCCGACTGGCCCACCAGGTTTTCCTGTCAGCACGTAGGTTCCGCTTTAGTTCGCGTCTAATAGCTGGTCTGGTCACATTATGCTCAGAGCCAACTGGGAGGTTTCTTCTAGATTCCAACAGGTTCACCGACCTCTCCGATATCCAGTGACTGGTGCGGTGAAAACTGATAGTGCCACAAGCAGATGCTCCTGCGTCGTGCATAGCGGCAGAGATCCTATTCCACTGAAGCTCAGTGTCATTAGGACAAGACAACGAAAGTTCGGTACGCAGTGCGTCTTGATATTGCTTGTCTGACTGAGGGCTGAGACAATTTCTCAGTAGCCAATCGGAGGAGAGGCTTAGTGCGCATCCCGAGTAAAGTTCATAGAGAAACGACAGCGCACCAAGGCATGATCAGAGTTGATGCAGGTATTCTAGTACGAGCGGCAATCCAGGATGGAACCACGCCACCTGTAACTTATGGCTAAGTGGTCTATTTGGGTCCATTGCTGGCGAGCTACAGGAGGACGCCAAGTGGCACTTCGGCGCCCACTGTGTATAAAAGCTGTGCTACTAAGAAACAACTGGTGCTGCGCACACAGTTGCAGCAGACGCTCGCCGTTGTCAGTCCGTTCGGAGTTAAGCCCATAATTATCATCCAGCTGAGCTTCTGAAGAGCTCATATGCCCTACTTGTGCGTTCATATCCTTGCAAGTACTGTAATATCTGAATGATGACTTGTTTACCGACAAGCGGTATACGACCCTTAGGCAGGAGCGACCAAGGAACACAGAGCAAATAGAGCGCAAGAAGAACATGTACACGATCGATAGGAAGGGATAGTGAACGGCAGTCCCGAGAGAGAAGACATACCACAAAGCAAAGTAGATAACTTAGAAGTGAGAAAAACGAAGATAGTTTAAAAAACAACAAGGCGAAATATACGATGATCGCGTTGAGCCCATCCAACTGTCTTAAGCAAG